TCGAGTCAGACTTGAGTCACTATTTTTAGGACTTGAGACTTGACTTGATAAAATGGACTAAGACTTGGGACTCGACTTGGACTTGAAGGTCAGTGACTTGGGACTTGACTCGGACCTGAGGCGTGTGACTTGAGAAGACTTGATGCTTTTCCTAAAAATATGTATGTGTTTAGAAAATACTTTTCTCTTTACAGCTGATAAATGTGGTGCTTAATTTTACAGAAACAAACTGGAACATGTCCCTTCCACTTCTCTGTTTGTTTCTTTGGATGTAACTAAAGTACTGTGATATCCTCAATTGTACTACAGTAATATACAGTACAATGCAGTACAACAGAGGGAACTACATAGAACATGATCCTTCCATTTCAGTGCCGATTACACAACAAAATAACTGTTATTAAGCACTTTTAAATCTTAATTCTTTCTGTTCTGACCATAATGATTCACACTAAGATCTTGTCAAGACAATTAAAAAAAGAAAGATTTTCATTTCTACAACTCTTATATAAATACTCACATATAAATATACCATGACTTTTTAAGTACAATTTAGTTTAAAATTCATATAAATCTAAACTTTACTTTGGTTTAAAGACCTGAAATGACTTGAAGCTCAAGGCACTTAGACTCGACTTGGACTTGCCTGTATTTGACCTGGGACTTGACTCGGACTTGAGGTTAAATACTTGAGACTTACTTGAGACTTGCAAAACAACGACTTGGTCCCAGCATGGAAACAAAAAAGTCCTACACTAGAAAAGTACTTATTTAATTTTCTTTTTTGGTCAGGAAGCCTACACCAAAATCACTAAACAAAAATGAAAATTCAAAAAGGAAATTTGCAAGATTACAGGATCATTTTCAAAAACAGTTCACATTAAAATACGTTTACAAGTTTGTATCTGTATTTGTATTTATATCTTTATTTTGGGCAAGTAGAGGTTTACGTTCTTATACAATGGAACATATGACATAAATGAAATCATAATAGAAATTAAAATAACCACAACAAAAATGAATGGGAAGAAGAAAATTTATTTAATCCCACCCCCACACTTCTAATCTAACACAATGAGCTTTCTTTTGCACTTTTCAGACATCTATACGAACTACCTACAAGAGCGGACAAAGTTCATGAACCATATGACAGTACCTCCCTCCCAAGTGCCTACAGGAGGGAGGAAGGGGTGGAAGTTTGAAAAAAAAAAACTCGGGACTTTTGCTGAAATTGCATCACCGGTGTGGAATTCGCATCAAGCTTTTTTTTCTCACATTTTTTCTTCCTTTTTGATCCAATCCTTGAAAACAGGCTGCACTTTTCCATATGCTCAGATCTGTATCAGTGTATGGTCCAACAGCTGCAGGTCCACACACTGTTATATTTACCTCTGAGCACGCCAGCTATGTGCTTTGATATTGGCTAATCACAACAAGAGCTGAAGAGGGGGGGCGGGGCTGTAGTGAAGATGAAGGGACCATCTGCAGATTAAGACCTCAAAGTGACAGCTAAATCAGGGCACTATATTTCTTTTTTGGTTTAATTAGGTGGAATGCATATTTTAATTAACCAATCAGGAGGGCATAGTCACTTCAAGTTTTGCTATGTGCTAAATATACTGCTGCTACTACAACTAAGTCCTTCTGCTACTACTACTATTACTGCAGCTGTTATACTACTGCTAATATTAGGCCTACTACTACTACTACTACTACTACTACTACTACCACTACTACTGCTACCACGGACTCTTATGAGCTTTAAACCATGTTATAATGCGGTTACCTCATCAAAAACATCCCCGGAGTTGTGTTTTGTTTCATTCACACATGTTTGAGTAACTTTTAGTATGTGTGTCTACATCTCCAAAGCTCCAGATGTCATGAAGCAGTAGTTTTCAAGTTAACGTCTACCTTTTACCTTTAGTTCAGTAGAGGTTGGCAATTCTAGAGCAGAAATCATCCAAATTATTCTAGTGAATGTGAATGGACTTTGAAAACACAGTGGAGCACGTCCTATATTACCACATGACATCACAAGGTGGAACAAAGGAACAGTGTTTTTCGTTTCAGAGATAAAATCTGCCTAAACGTGCAGTGTTTGTGTGTTAAACATGGGTGAATGAAACAAAACAAAACACAACTCCAGGTTTGTTTGTAATGAGGAAACGACATTATAACAGATCAGAAAATAACGTAATAGCTCTTTAACTACTGTAGTAGTAGTTTTAAAGTCCAGTAGAATTCAAATCGTTGCTTATTAGGTGTCTAATTTAATCTATGAGGTCAAATGGACTGATTTAGTCTGGAGCTCAATGACCTGGCCGAGGTCCACACTTCTCTTGGCAAACACAGTGATGCTGCTGAGCTGAGACACATTTGGGATGCACTGTTATGCTTATCCTGGTTTAAAGGTACACTGTGTAACATTCCTGCTTGTCTCCATGGAAATATTGTTTTGCCTGGAATGTTCTACAGTCTGATATTAAACATTTGTATTTTGATTGATTGATGTATGTATTTATTATGGGCAAGTAAGAAATTTGTATTCTTTTACAATGGAACATATAACACTAATGAAATCATAGAAGAAATAATAACAAAAAATTTTAATTGGCCAAAAAAGGAGTGGGAAGAAGAAAACTTATTTAATCCTACCCTACTTTCAGACATTTTACATTAAACTATATGAACTATTTACAAGTGCGGACCAAGAGTCACTGTTATAGTTTGGTAACATAAGTGTATTGCAATAATACATAAGGATTCCAACAATGGTAACAGACAGCACATACTACACTACAGAAGGAAGTATTGTTCTAATATTAAGACCCACTCTCTATATACTGTGGCCAGATCATATGTTTATACAACAACTTGAATTTATGGATATTTTGGTGTTGCTTGAGATGTGTATCCAGACTGTTCCAGAGTTTTACACCACATATAGACACATAGAAACTTTTAAAGGTAGTTCGAACATTGGGCTATTAGAAATTTCCATACCCTCTAAAATGATGAGTTCTCCCTCTCATTTTGAACAAGATTTGAAAATTACTTGGTAGTAAATTGTTGAATGCTCTAAATAAAATTACCGGTGTATAATATTTTACAAGATCAGGAATCTTAAGGAGCTTGGATTCAATAAAAAGGATATGGATGTGTTCTAAAAATCCCAGGTCCACCTCTCCATAGATCTGACCAGTAACTTGGCCTTGTAGTATTACTGCAATAACTTCTCCATGGAGACAAACAGGTGGCGTGCCCTCCACTAAAGCTACATGAAGCACCTTTAAATGGGACTAAATGACTTAATCACAATGTTTCAGTAGTGGTGATTTGTCTGCCTGACTCAGTGCACGCTAATGAAGGCTGCAAGGGATAACTGAATCATCTTCTCTTAATGAAGAAAATATAATTAAAAAGCCTGTCCAATAGAGCTCCATTCATTGTGGAACACCTACGCAGAACTTACAAGCCTCAAGGTATAGACTGAAATAGTGTATTACAGCACCAGGATGAATTGAGTTAAACTTTGCTGTTTGTTCTTTTTATAACTCACCATGGATCATGTTTTAGAGAATTAATTTTTACTTGCTGCTAAATAACGGTGTGAACATTTTATTATGTTTGAAAAATGTGCTTATTATTCAAGATTGAACAAAAGCAAAACTAATGTGTGTCTGGTTTGAAATTAAAATGAGTTTCATTCAGAGGATGACTCAGCTGAGTTTGCACTAAGTAACTTTTTTGATCAAGGATTTATCGCCTACTTGTCTCCATGGAGATGTTATGGCTTTGCCTTGAATGTTCGACCGTGTAGCATCAAACATGTCCATCTTTTGTCAAGTCGAGTTCATTTATAAAGCACATCTACACACAACAGCTGTCCAAATCAGGAATATGGTTCATGAACTTTGTCTGCACTTGTAAATAGTTCATATAGTTTAATGCAAAATGTCTGAACAATGCAAAAGAAAGCTCATTATGTTAGATTAGAAAAGTGGGGGTAGGATTAAATAAGTTTTCTTCTTCAGATTCCTTCTTGGGCAAATGTTTTGTTGTGGTTATTTTCATTTCTATTATGATTTCACTTATGTTATATGTTCCACTGTAAAACAACGTAAATCTCTACTTAACCAAAGTAAATACATAAATACAAATACAGATTCAAACTTGTAAATGCATTTCAGTGTGAACTCTTTCTGAAAATTATTCAGAAATCTAGCAAATTTCCTTTTTGAATTGTAATTTCTGGAGTGGTCAGATGTTTTTGTATATTGATTTTGATGTAGGCTTCCTGACTAAAAGAAGATTAAATAAGTAATATGTACTGTTCTAGTGTAAGACTTTTTGTTTCCATGGAAATGTCATTGCCTGGAATGTCCCACAATATTATTCAGTTACAAGTCCTCATGTTGTTGTTATTGTTTTGTGTTTACTGTGAGCTGGCTTGCCTCTCCTCAGAGCTAACCTGTAATTTGGCCTGAAGGTGCTTGTGTCCATGGAGATAGATACATTTAGTAGTATACTGTGGAACATTCTGCACAAAGTTATAGCATTTCCATGGAGATAAACACTTGGCTGACCCTCCACATAAAACATTACATATTGCACCTTTAACGTCGCATTAGGTTTAAGTATTTTTATTGTAATGGTAAAGAAAAATCATCAATACTGAAGCAATCTTTCCTCAAGGGTCCTTTAACTCAGTATATACTCCATTATTCATACTAGTATTGATCCAGCCTATGTGATTGAATTATTGCATCACTATCGCAAATGTAAAATAATGATACTGAGAGAGAATGCATTCCACCATAGCTTTAAAATATGAGCTCTTTACAGTGTTTTGACATTATGTTTGCACTCCTCCTCACAACTCACTGGCTGTCTGTTTCTAGGTATTCCCTTATCTGACCTTCCCTTGTCATTTGATGAATTGTATCATTAGTTTTAGGCTAAAGGGTTATAAAGTGTCCATGTGTTTTATGTTGTAGTCCAAAGCCCTGAGGGAGCGCTGGTTGTTAGATGGAGCGCCTGAAGAAGAGGAGACCAAACGCCGTCTACAGGAGGACGAAGTCAAGACCAAACTTCTGGAGCAAGTCATCCTCAGGTCACTGTTATACACCTTATTCTGGAAGTTGCCAATCTTGACAGTAAATACATTCTATACCATTTTCTCCCAGAAAACCAGTGCATTATTGACTTGTTGGTGCACTTGAATCACATCTATATCATCATACTTTTCTCAAATTCTCCATTAGGGCTGAACAATTTTAAGAAAAAACTGAATTGAATTTTTCCTGGCAGATATTGCGATTTTTATTTCGTCCACAAGTTTTTTCAAATCAAGTTTTAGTGCACATGAACATTTACAAACATCACAGTAACTTACATTATACCTGAGTCCTGCACCGACAATTTGACACTGGACCGTTTGTGCACATTTGTTTACGTTTTACAGAAACAAAACTTAAAACCACATGGCTCATTTGCATAAACTATAAATGCTGAAAAAAACAGCTGATGATGGTGCTGATGATGGTGAGTCTGTTCTGTGCTTCTGTCGTGTGGGAGATGGTTCATGTTAAACTTTACACAAACACCAGGTTTAAATCCTAGCCTCCTAGCATTGTGGTGGTGAATTACTTTGCGGCGCATAGACCTTGACCCAGACCCTTAAATCAAAACGATGGGGACAAGGCGACGGCGGCACTGTGCGTTAAGTTAAAACTGGGCTTTAGGAGCACTACAAAAAAATGTGGCTTTGACGCTCTCAAAATAGTGTTGTCTGAGATTATGATTTTTGTTCCAAAATGATAGATCGTTCAGCCCTGTTCTCCATTGTAATAAATGGGAATCTCACATAACCAGAAGTGCCACTGCAAAGGAAGTGCTGTTTAGTAGCATCTAGAAACAAAAGTGGGTGGGGTAGAATAAGGTCAATACAACACTTTACATCTAGATTAGAAAGACTCTGCTGTAATATTAACTGCTGATATTATGTTTATACTAGAAGTCATGTGATCCGTATTGAAGCTCAGTGCTGCTTTTCCCAGCATTATTGGTGAAGTGGTAATTTCCCAGAGTGAATAAACAACAGTGCAAGTGATTAGTTGATTTAGAGCTGATTCTTTGATAGGAAATATTCTTTGTATCCAGAAGTTTATCTACCCAGTCATAGTAAGAATGCAAGTTTTTAGCTCAGTAAAACCTCATGTTATTGAGTAAATGGATACATTTAATGCCATACCGGTACATTCCAGACAAAACAATAACATCTCCATGGAGACAAGCAGGTGGCAGATCCTCCACCAGAGAAGTTACACAGTGCACCTTTAAGTAGCACCATTTCTTTCTTTTTTTTTTTTCATATTTCTGCAGTTGTTCTATTTTTAAATGACAGAGTAGCGTGACCTGCTTTTTATATTTCCCTGTGTGTTGTTTTGATGCAGGCTGGAGCAGGAGATCGAGGAGCTGGAGACAGGCGTGCCGGCGAAGGGCGTGGCCAAAGAGAACGGAGGTGAGTGAGCGCTATGACAACACGAAACCATGGCAACCCCTCCTCCTGACCACCTCGCTCACACACACACACACACAAGCACAGCAGCTAATAATAGCATCTTCGTAAACAGTCAGTGAGTTTCCAGGAACGACACACACGCCTGTTTTCAAGTCCACTTATTAACCATTGACTTGTTGCCTCTAATTAGCTTTTAATTAGTGACTTGCAAACACTGGTACCTTTTCAGCAGTTATGCATTTAGAGTAAGATAAATTGTACACGCAATTTAGTAGGCTATATAACAAAATACTACTTCTAGCTGTTCGTGTATCAGAGAAAATGAGAGAACATTGATTAAAATATTGATCAGGAGAAATAAATTCACATTTTTCAAGCCATATCTGTTCAAATATATTATAATTTGAAGTAGGATTTGTGGCAACTGTTGAAAAGGGTTGTAAAAGTATTGATACCAAGACAAAGTACAAAAACTACATAAAACTAGATACTAATTTGAATAACTGGACAACATTTAAGAGTGGTTTTGTAGAATATCAGAACTACTATAAGGTCATATGGCAATATTAAAGAAAGAACTACTACTTATTATTATTATTATCATTTTAGTATTAAAATTGTTGTGTGTCAAGCAAACTGAGAAATTTTAGTATCGTAACAACACTACTGCTGAATAAAAACTGGTAATTTAGTGACAAACTATCGTAGTTTTATACTTCTAAGTCCTTGTCCAGCAACAAGTTACATATCAAATATACAGTTGATCATCCCTTAACTATGCTAAAAATTCAATTTAATGCATGCTTTTATAGTAACTTACAAATCCGAAGCTAATTAACCACAACCATAATGCTCTTTGTTATTATACTGCTATACTTGAGTTGCTGTGTCCAAGTAATTTCCCTTGTGCGGCAATAAAATTTCCTCAATAAAAAGTCATAACTTGATTGCCTATTGCCTGGCTGCCTCTGGTGACACTCTGGTGCTCCCTACAGGTGAGAACGGAGTAGTGCAGAACTCGGGCCAGACCCCAAAGAGAGAGGTGACCGGGGTAGAGGCCAAACTGCTGGGTCCCAGTCCAGACCAGGCCAGCGCAGACAACCCAGTGACCCTCGTTTTCATGGGATACAAAACCGTGGAGGAGGAGCAGGAGTCGCGTGCCGCCATGGAAGGGGTAGACGGCAACGTGAAGGCGGAGTTTGTGGTGATTGAAGATGGAGAGGGAAAGGGAGGAGACGGGGCCACAGACGAGCAGGCGCCCCCTAATGGTAGCATGGCGGATAAGGAGAAGGCCAACGGAGCGGAGGAGGAGAAGAAGGAGAAGAAACAGAGCTGCAAGTGCTGCACGGTCATGTGAGAGCCGAGTCTATGTGCGTGCGCGTGTGTGTAAGATTGTATGTGTGTGTGTGCGCGCGTGTGTGTGCGTGTGTGTGTGACAGGACTGGATAAAGTAACACAACAAAAGCAGAAACACAGCCAATATCAACAAAGAGCCCAAACAAGCTCAAGAACCACAAAGACTGAAAAGTACAACTCGACTTCTCCAATATGTATTTGAATTTTAATTTCAATTGATATTTTTCTATTTTTCTGTCTTGACATTTATATTGTATTCATTATGTATATCTTATAATGAGACTGTGTACTGTAAAGTCATTGGTATTATTGTTAAAAAAAAAAAAAAAGGATCAAATGTATTAGCTTGCTCTAGCTGGACAAATCTGGAACTCTCCCAAAAATGAAAAGGGCACTGTGTAACTTTTCTGGTGGAAGGTCGGTTGCTTGCTTTTCTCCATGGAGATAATATTACTTTTCCTGGAATGTTCCAGAGTATGACTAAACATATCCATCTCGCATTTATTTTGTTACCAGGTGTTTTATTTCTCAAAAATACCTCAAAAACATGCATTCTTACTCTGAGCCAGAACTTCGTATATTTGTTTATTGCCATATGTGAAAAATTCCAGGCAAAGAATTAACATCTCCATGGAGACAAGCAGGTGACACACCCTAATCCAGAAAAGTTACTTAGTGCACCTATAATTTAACTATGAAGGACACAGTAAAGATATATTTCTCTGTGTAGGCCTATCTACTATTTATCGGTCAATGTCATAGTTGCAATATTGTCTGAGATCTTATTTTGAATAGTATTTTAATATATTGATATGAAATTATGTTTTCTACAATGTATTTATTGTTTTTTGGTTCTGATTCATCTCAATTCATCCTCTGCATGTGAGCTTGAAAGCAGATTACAATCATGAAGTGTCTTTGCTTTAGAAAATCATCAATGCACATGTATTATATTTGATTACACTGGTCATTTGTAACTTTTAGGGTTAGATAAGTTTCACAGCACCAAGACAAAGAAGCAAAGTTAGTGGATACAGTACGGCGCAAAAGTCTGATGCAAATTTATATAAGAGATAAAAAGTTGGAAAATTATAATCAAATGTAGTTTAAAGGTGCATTGTGTAACTTTTCTGGTGGAGGGTTCGTGAAATGCTTTTCTCCATGTAGATGTTATTGTTTGGTCTGGAATGTTTCACAGTGTGGTATTAAACCTTTTTATCATTATGGAACCAAACCAGACCAAGTTACAGGTCAAACTTGCGAAGAGGCAACCCCGCTCACAGTCAGAATAACTGCTTTTGTAGGTATTTTTGAGCTATAAAACCACCTGTAATTGGTAAATGTAAGGTAGAGCTGTTTAAAGTCATACTGTGGAACATTCCAAGCAGAACAATCATATCTCCATAGAAACACGCAGGTGACAGACCGAGACCCTCCACCACAAAAGTTACACAATGCACCTTTATGCTTGAATACCTTCTTGTTTAGGGTGCTTAAAGTGCACTATAAATGTTCTGGTGTCCGTGTAGTTACTTGTATCCATGGAGATGACATTGCATTACCTGAAAAGTTCCACAATATGGCTTTAAACATGCCTATCTTGTTCTTTCCTTTATCCTTTATCTAACCAGAAAAGTGCCACTGAGATTTGGAATGTCATTTTTATTGCTCCAAAATAAGTACCCTTACTTATTCTTGCTGGGAGAGATAGATACACTTAATGCGATGATGTGGAACATTCCTAGAAAAGCAAAAACATCTCCATGGAGACAAGCAAGTGTCAAACCCTCCTCCAGAAATGTTATAGTGCTCGGATACTCGTTCAATTTCTCCCCCAAATCCTACAACTTCTGCACAGCACTGTATACAACTATTTAATTTTTTACTCTATGACAAATAGTTTATGATCATCTATTCCACATTGTAAGAAACCATTTCGCAGTGAATACAAATGTTTGAAATACTTTTGTTTCCACAGTTAAATCTATGTAAAAACTTAACACTACGGTAGCATTGCATGAAGCCTTGCAAATTCTCCTCACTGTCTGGTCTTTTCAACATCACCTCCACATGAATGTAACTGAGCAGGGGTTAAACTGGGACAACCTTTGTAACATCTCTCTGGCTTGTTCAGCTTGCCTTTATTTTATTATTATTATGAAGATAAATAGCATTTTTCTCTCTTCATGAACCAAATAAAATGTTGCGTATATGTATTATTCACTGTGTGTGGTTGGCTGCTGTGTTCTTGTCCTCCCAGTTTAACCCCTGATTCGAGATTTTTATTTAGATGCACTTAGTTAAACGTGTAAAATTACAATAGTTTAGGTGTACCCAGGTAGCTTTTTGATCTGAAGAAAACCTTTAGTAAAATTATATCAAAACACATTACATATAGTGGCCAGTTGAGACTTTACAAATGATATAGGTCAGTGATTCTCAGCCACTAACAATTAATTTACTACATTTTATTATCACTTTTATTGTCAAAAAATCTTCACAACAAACTCAAGTTGGTGCTATTGCTGTGTCTAGCTGTCTGTCTGTCTCTTCTTCCATCCAGTTCTGATCAATGAGAAGAGGATTGTGGGTAATCTTCCTCTTTCTTAGCATTTTTTGAGAAAGAAAAGTTTAGTACCAGATGCATTGTCTCAAGTCTTGCTTCCTAGTTCCTTCAAACATTCCAGTGGGAGGTTGATAGGCGTGGACTGATAAAGTACAGTCTATGCGTTCCATATGTACAACTTGAAACTCTGCTCCTGGTACTTTCACAATACTTTCTCGTACTTCATAGTGTAAAATACATACATTTTGTGTATTGTTGGTGCCTTCGTCCGGTTCATTGAGTTGGACTTGTCTTGTTTGTTGCCATTTATTTATATATATATTTTATTTCTTTCTGGCTCTGCTCCTGGTTTTTCACAGATCCACCTTAAACACTGCCTTTGATCCATGCTTTTATTTTGAAGAGATTGCAGCTCACTATATAGGACATATGCAAACTATGGTCTCCAAGGAAGGCCGTTTCGAGGACCCAGTTTTTTTAAAAGCAACTTTAGTAGGTTTGTTGTATTCTGGGATGCCTGTATGATTAATTGTTGTAAACTTTTGACATCATGTATCCGACATATCCTGCTATAAGCTCCATGTGTGCATCATACTGTTGTATATGTGCAGAAATGTTGCTATGGACTTTTTGTTGTCGTGGGTCTCCGGGACAGCAGCAGAAGTCACCTTGTGTTTGACCAATGCCTGTTCATTCTGTGATTGTCTCAGTGTTTAATCTTGAATAAAACATTGTTTTCAGCAGATCATTAAAGCTACAGTGTGAGTGCCTTTGAGTACACAGATAAGAGTAATTAATCAAACTGCAGCTGAATGAAGATTAAATCATTTTTAATCAATGATAAACTTGTGGAGATCAAACATTACAAGGAAATAAAACTATAGTGGGTCCAATTCCAAAACTAACCACAAACTTGGACAAAGTATTAATCCACAAGGAAAATTACTGGGATATGCTATCTGAAAAATACAATGGATAATTCAAAATCACTCCTACAGACAAAAACATAAATGATTTTCCTGCTCTTAAGTTTTTTTGCTGAGTCTGACTGCTCAGATTGAGCACCGCAAGGTCCATTTTTCTTGGCATGAGGCCTGTTTGAGGAAGGAAAAATGAAGCTAAACAGAAGAGGCGTATTCTTGCCCTGAAAAGGAAGTTTTTGGTTGTTGCGATACCTAAATCTGTCCACTAGGGGGCATACGTTTATTGCGGTCCTTTCACATGTTTCATCCAGACCAATGTGGTGTGATGTGCCTGTACTAAAGATAGACTATAAATTAAGATGAGTTCTGTCTTATATTTTATATACTGGATTAGATATGATTATCTTATATTCAAAACAATACTAAATGTTCTATATTCTTGAAACTAAACTAACTAAACTAAAACAATGTGTGCTATAAAATGTAGGGCATGGTCCATAAGAACTATGCATGTGTGCATAATTACTGCCCTTAATGTCTCTGCAACATCTTTATGTAACTAATCAATGAGGCCTTAATGGTATACCTCCAGATAATGAAGAAATAATCAATTAAACTAAATAGCAGCAGTATCTCTCTCTCCAACAGTCAGTTTTTGTTTTGATAAGAAAGCCCAGTTTCTCCCACACCCACTTTTCTGTGAAATGCAACCTAATGTTTGAGTGAGACAATGGAGTAAACAATGGGAAACAAGGGTGAGGCATTAGCAGCCTGAGGGGGGTCAGGTATCAACAGTGTCTACTACAAAGATGCCCTCAGTGAAGAGGAGACACTCTGGGGCAGGCCTCAGGTTTGGGCTTCTTCAATAATTACAGACACACAAACTGAAAATTAGGGCAATGATCCTGTAGGCTTAACTTAGGCCTATGTGGGTCAAAAAGTAGCCCAAAGCTTTTAACATTAAATTAATTACTCATCAGGGTAAAAATGCCAATGCTACATAATTACAAGGATTTAATAACCGATAGGCCCATTATAGTAGGCTAAGTTTGCTGCTTGAATTCTCTGTTCCCTTTTATCCATAAAAATATTGCTATAATTAATTATTTGGATGGTGGTGCATGGGCTAATTTATTTAGGTCTGTCCTCGGTTAATAGGCAATTGTTCTCTCCCCCTCTCATGAGTTTGAGGCTAATAAACTATTTATATGGCCTCTATTGCAGACTATAGGCAAAATAGTGTCTTAAATGAAGGTCTAATTTAAACTGGCAAAATAATTAACCTCATTCATTTAGAGGTCCATTTCAATTACCGTAATGGTTTATTCTTTTTGCCTATGGATGTTCCTTGTTTCGCACTACTAGCCTACTACTTTACTTTTGTTATAAGAACAAAGAGTCTGCTTGATCTTGGATAGGCCTATGTGCCACATGTTTTATATCACATGTTTCACGTGGTCATCAAACAAAACTTGCATTACCAGACCCCTCCACACTGCTCCTCCACACTGCTCCTCCACACTGCTCCTCCACACTGCTTCTCCACACTGCTCCTCCACACTGCTCCTCCACACTGCTCCTCCACACTGCTCCCCTGCTCCTCCACACTGTTCTTCCACACTGCTCCTCCACACTGCTCCCACTGCTCCTCCACACTGCTCCTCCACACTGCTCCCCTGTTCCACACTGTTCTTCCACACTGTTCTTCCACACTGTTCTTCCACACTGTTCTTCCACACTGCTCCTCCACACTGCTCCTCCACACTGCTCCCCTGTTCCACACTGTTCTTCCACACTGCTCCTCCACACTGCTCCCCTGTTCCACACTGTTCTTCCACACTGCTCCTCCACACTGCTCCCCTGTTCCACACTGTTCTTCCACACTGCTCCTCCACACTGCTCCCCTGTTCCACACTGTTCTTCTACACTGCTCCCGAGCTCCCAGCCCCGTCCTTCAAAGGATGGATGGATGATGTGGAAATTTGCCGCGGACTTCCCCTCTCACTAGTGATCGCTGTCTTGGCCAATCACAAGCCGCAGAGCCTCTTCTCCCCGCCTCTTGGAAATGAGTGGACCAATCAGCGCTTGCCTCCGTGTGTTCAGCCATTTTGTAAGAAAATCAAGCAAGTGTGCCGCCCTACCTTCGCTTCAGACCTGCATTTTTTTCTTGTGCAATGGACGGGTAAGTGAAAAGAACCTCTCTTTACACTTTATTTCAGATAAACTAGCCGTCAAACCTTCTCCATTTCACTGTTAGATTAGTTTGTAAAGTGTCCTGGGCGCGATGGCTGTCTTTTAAAACAATCGGATGGAAAAAGTTTACTTGAAAAGAGTTTTTTCATGAAAACAAGCAACAGTTAGCAGTCGAGTTAGCCAACTCGCAGTTGCTGTGGGTTTTACACAATAAATCTGGTGTCGGGTAATACGAGAGTTAGTCGAGTGGATAATTGCATGTTTTTGTGCAGTATTGTGTCCGTGGAGATGTGTTGTTTGATGCGGACTCACCGTGTGTTGGTAACTTGGTTTCACGGGAACTCGAGCGAAGCTAAAGCAACGTGTCTCATTTCCGCATTCATTTGGCTGCTGTGTCTAAACCAGGGCCATGTCGGGGATGTCTGGCTCGGGCATCTCACGCTGATTTAATTAAAGACTCCTCCGGTGGGTTATCTCTCAGACGATAGGGGAAGATGTTTCATTGTCACTAGTATTTCGTTTTTGTTTGGCCGCTTGAGCTCGCATGATCTGGGGACCTGTTGCTCGCGGCGGTGTACTCGCTCCGTTGCATTCAGAAAATTGCTTCTGCTTACGTAGATCCTTGTAAAGATCTTTCATCGTAAGTGCTGACATTAAAGTCCTGTGTTTTGTTTCGCTTTTTACAGCCGCCTAGACGCTGACTTGTACCCGCTGGGATCCGGCTACGTCCCTGACATTGAGTAAGTGATAATCTGCACCTCTTCATTGTTGTGGGTTTTGTTGAAGCTTGGCTCATTTTCATCACTGTTTACATGATTGCATTTCCTCCCTAATTACAACCTTATGTTCTGTTTCAGCAGTGTCCATGACATATCAGTTGGCACCAAGGTACGTCAAATTTTCTTTTTATTTATCTAGAAATATTTATTTTCCTAACGTTATCGTAAACTATAAATGTATATATTATGTCCTTTTCACATCTGCCTTTAGTTATTCTTAAGCTTAACAATTGTTTGACTTTGTTTGTGGATGCTTCAATAATTACAGGGTTGTTGCAGGCATCCTTTAGTGTGTAATAGTAGGCTACCCAACTATTTTAAACATGTATGAAGTGTAGCCTGGTTTTTCCCTACAAGTGCTAAGATTAGGAAAGTACTGAATACAAAATGTGTTATCTGAGTGGCTTTTTGTGCTCTTGTTGAGTTGCAGAGGAAATGAAGCTTCCTGTTTATTTTATGTGCCTGTACCTACCACTACCAGCTAATTTGCCTTGAACACTGCTGATTGTGAGTCCAACTGTGTTGGGGCATGACTCAGTTAAGTGAAATGCCCGGGAATTGAATACTTGTATGCTTGAGTGACTGAATCTGCAGTTTTTATGCATGAGGGAAGGACTAGTTGTATACTTTTTGTTCTTTGGTTCTTTTACCTCATAAAAATACCTACATTTTACAGTGCCATTACAAAGCTTTAGCCCACTATGTGAAGTTACAGTAATGGAGCCCTTTTTACGCTGTAACCATCCTCCCGTGTCTATCCTCATCCTGCCGGGCAAAGGTCTTTACACTGTTTAAACAAGGCTACAGAAACACGCCTTTTGGACACACGCCCCGCCCCCCCCTCCAAACATGTATTTCTGTAAAGCCGGTTATTCTTGAAAACCAATGCAAGTTTTTAAATACACTCTGTAAAACTATACTTTTTGTTTTCCATATTGTTGACTTTGTGTAACTGTACTCTTTAAACCTTCGAGGCGCTGTAAGAGTAATACTAATGCTGCTGAGTTATGGTGCAGCGCCTTTCTGGAATCTGTAATTATTGGGTCCGGGCAAAGCGTCTGGTATTTCGTGGTCGCATTCCTGCCCCCCTCCAGCCCCCCGAGAGGCACACCGCCCTGCCCCCTTCACTGGAAACACGGGGCAAACATGTCTCTACCTGCACTCTTCCCTTTTGTGCATCTCTCCAGGGGCTTTTTACGATCACAAGTATCCCGCCAGCCGCCCATAATAGATGTTTATAGTCTAGTTAGTTACTTCCATATGCATTTTGGTGTACTCTGCCCTTTGGTTACATATAGTTAGTTTTGTAACTTCAGTTTTATTTTGGGGGTTGTCCCAGAGGCATATTATTTAATCTTGTGACAGTTGTTCTTGAACTGCAAAAGTAGCAGAAATTCTGATCTTTTTGTATTTTAAATGTTATTAGTCAGCAACTAATTTTAGAGTTTGTATAGTCCAGATAACTATTATGGTTATTAGAAAACTGGGTATTTTTTTAGCCTACTAGTCCCTTTTATACTATTAATCATTGCAGCACTAGTAGGAATGGGACAGTAATATTGTTTATCATGATAAAAAGAACAAGGCTACTTCTCTATGATGATCTCTTCTAGATTATTGTTGTTTTCACTTTCACATAACAAAGTACAATTATGTAGCAGTTGTTTAAATATGGAATCTCTTCATAATCTTTAATAATCATAATATCCATAACATTTTAAAACTGTCAGTTTATCGTGATGTAATCGTGAATTGCAATTATTATGGCCATGATAATTCTAATACCAAATTTTAACATTATCCCATGCCTACAACTTATTAAATGTTGCATTAGTGCTAGAACAAATTAAATACTGATTAGTGTTGCTCGGCTCTCCTTAGGTTTATTCTGGCAAAGACTTTTAGAGCAGTGCACAGTACACATAATTTATTATTAGAATAAGGAAGTTTGGGAGGGGGGTGCAGTCTTTTCCTGTAACAGCAACAATTGTCAGTTCTCACAAGGAGGTTTAACTAAACCTTGGAAACTGGCCCAATTTTGTTGCCTTATCGCCCACACAAGGCCAGGACCACTTCCCTTGTGTCCTGAGGTCCACATCTGGTATTGGCGTCGCAAAGCTTCACTCACTCATGTTTGCCACATTTTGTTTGGTTAAATCTGACTAAGTATTTGACTTTTAACTCTCACCATATGCCCAGTATTTTGATAAGATGACCAGACGTGGGCTTGTAACTCTATTAGGAAAGACAGGCTTTTTTTCTACGAAGTTGTGGATTTGCAGGGATTTTAGAACGCCTGAGTCAGCCTTTGGTATATTTTACTTCTCTGTAATAAAAAAAAAAACTAACAGTTTTGAAACAATAGCTTGACAGAAGAATCAGTTGACTCAATCATTCAGAGTGCAGTTAACGCACCAAGAAGCATTTACATTTGAAAGAAGACTGAAACCAGCACAAGAATCCCATGCATTTCAGAACATGTTTGTGGTCAGGTTTAGCAGGTTTATTGAACAGGATATTTTGTTGTTTGCAGTGGAAAATCTTTCTTAAATAATTGCAGACTTTGCAATCTTACTCGTTGAGACCATTCAATTTGCAATTAGATCACAGCTGATTAAACCCCTTTTGATCTTTGTCTTTATTAGCTTAATACTTAAAATCACCGATGTCTTTCACTTTTGAATCATCTCAAGGTGTGGAATGTGTGCAGACCTGATCGCTGGTTGTTTTATCGCTGTACTCTTCTTCTCCATGTGTGTGAGTGTTTCTATAACAATGGCCCCAGTATTAATGTGAACAGGAGCTCCATTGTAACACTGTGTAGAGCTTAGACGGCTGAACCACTTCTTGTGACTGCCGCACTTCATATCAGCCACCACAAACACACAGAGCAATGAGAGCCGTCCTGAAACACAACTTTATTATATGGACGAGTGAGGAGAGATACAAGCTGGTTTGAGACACTGGCCCTCTATGTACAGCCTGAGCATTCCCATCTGGTCTGAGGCCCCAGCAGTATGTCCTCCTCTATAGTGAGTGATGAGATGAAAGCTTGGAGTGGTCAGCAGCTGGAAACCCTTAAACCACTTAAACATGCCCCTCGGCTACGGACAGTGACTGTGCATTACATGTTTACAAATGGGAGTGGGTGGATACAAAAACGAATATTGAATGTTTTCTTATCGGTGTCCCTAAAGAATGTAAAAATAAAACATATCTGAAATGGCCTAAATTTGGCGGTAAATGCATTTTTTGGTCATGATAATTACTATATTGACTCATCGTTCACTGTATGAAAGCTGGAACATTATATTTTTGGGCTTGAAGAGATTTTTGTTAGATTGTAATACGGTGAGATTTGAGTTGTAGCAAGTGGAATAAGTAACTTTGATGGTAATTGTCTGCTTTAGTGTTATTGTGTCAGTGGCATAAAGTTGTTTCAATATTATTGTTTATCCCAGTATATTTCTGTAGCAATATATTGTGCCTCAAAATTTGTTATTGTGACAAGTATCGCAAATGTGGCAATGGAAATATGAACTGATAAACTAAGACAAATCATATGAATTTCAAAACATGTTTTTAGAGGTTTAAACAATATTTTTCTACAAAACAACTGGATATTTTGTTCTTTGCAGAAGACATTCTGTCATATCGTATCACAAATAACTACAGACTTTGCGGTTTGATACTTGCATCAAATGAAATTGCTATTTCAGTATATTGTGCTGACCTGTGTGCAAACCAGTTGACTCAAACACACGTGTTGATGGGATCAGTCGGAGAATCCAGGGCCTAAGTCAAGCTAGCTTATTTAAATACTACTTTCTTGCAAACTAGTTGCAATATTTCCTTGTAAGGAAGAGCTAGACTCCACTGTTTGCCTGATCCTCTTTTGGTTATCAGATGACTTCCTGCCTTATCACACAATGGCCCAGGTAACATGAGAGCGGCGCTGTCCACCTGCTGAGCTGTGTGCTGCTGTATGCCATGAATTGAACCATTGTTTTTGTGTTTGCAGAGGGGATCCGACGAACTGTTTTCTTCCAGCGTATCCAACGGGCCCTATATCATGAACTCAGGTAAGGAAGGGGGTTGCCATGGAAAGGGTGAATCTTTTTCCCCTCCCTCTTAGTACTTGTCAATGTGTGTGTTGTTTGCGTTGTCATGGTGAGCAATCCATTATTCAAGACAAACCCGAGCCCTCTGTTCTCTCCTCCTGATTGTATCTGCTTGTGTTTCCGCCCGCAGCCAATGGCAACGACAGTAAGAAATTCAAAGGCGATGTGCGCAGCCCCGGTGTCCCGTCTCGAGTCGTGCACGTGCGCAAACTGCCCAACGACATCAACGAGGCAGAGGTCATCAGCCTGGGACTGCCCTTTGGGAAGGTCACCAACCTGCTCATGCTCAAGGGCAAAAACCAGGTACCAGGAGATAAGACCTACTGGACAAACCTGTAGGACTGCTGTTAAGACAAATGTCATATGTGCTTACTGTAGCTGATTTGTATCCAATTTCTACCTTGTATAAAATATGAAAAACAGAAATAGTTTAAAAATAAACTGCTGTGGTCCAGAGTTATTCTTCACTTTGCTAAGACATTCCTAGTATCCTTATTATTCACCACACTGAGCTTATAAACGATTTCCCAACTTTCAGAGGCTAGAGCAGTCGTTTTTTCATCATGGTCATGCCAGCAAACATTATCATGTTAACAGCAGACTTCCTGATGGCACACTGCAGTCTAATTTTTACCCTATGAGTTTTTTACAATACATCTGTGCCATGACAAAACCATTGTTCAGCTACATAGAAAAAAAATCAATTACAGACACTTTTTCATTATTTAAATTGAACGTTATAACAGTTAAGTTTGTAACAGTACATTTTAGAGTACTTAAAACTGAGTTCTCTTTTTCACCTATTGCAGGCATTCTTGGAGCTGAACAGTGAAGAATGTGCCCAGACCATGGTCAGTTACTACTCCTCTGTTACACCTGTCATTAGAAACCACCCAGTTTTTCTGCAGTACTCCACACACAAGGAGCTCAAGACTGACAACTCTCCCAACCAAGTGGTGAGTTCAGATCACAAACTAAGTGTAAATGGCTACTTATAGGGATGACATGAGTTTAATCACCGCGTTTCTTTAGCGTGCACAGGCAGCTCTGCAGGCGGTCAATGCTCTACATGGAGGAGCGATGGGGAGCATGGCCATCTCTACAGACACCAGCAGCCTTGGGGGTCCCACCAGCCAGAGCCCTGTGCTCCGGGTCATCGTGGAGAACCTTTTCTACCCCGTCACTCTGGACGTCCTTCACCAGGTGGGCTGAAGATGAACTGAAGCCTATAGAAGAATATCGTTAAAGGTTCCTTTTGCTAATCAGTGTTTCTTTATTTGTAACAGATTTTCTCTAAGTTTGGCTCTGTCCTGAAGATCATTACTTTTACCAAGAATAACCAATTCCAAGCTCTGATCCAGTATGCTGATGCTATGACTGCTCAGCATGCAAAACTGGTAAGCCACACTTATCTTTTTATCTTATCTCATCAGTTAAAACAGACCTCATGACTCTAGTGTATTCTTTATAAAGACTGTTTGTCCTGATAAAGTATTCTGTTTTCCAGTCTCTAGATGGACAGAACATCTACAACGCCTGCTGCACTCTCAGAATCAGCTTCTCCAAACTTACCAGCCTCAACGTGAAGTACAACAATGACAAGAGCAGAGACTACACCCGCCCCGATCTGCCCACAGCAGACGCCCAGCCCACTGTGGATCCCATGACCGCCGCAGCCTTTGGTACAGACACTGAAACATACTGTTTTATAAAAGTATAATGCAGGATTCTGATTTTTACTTTTGTCTTCATTAGCTCCTGGCCTTATCTCAGCCTCTCCATATGGGGGCGCTCATGCATTCCCTCCAACATTTGCCATTCAGCAGGCAGCAGGTAAAGATGCAAGCCTTTTATTTGCCTGTTAACACTTATAAACAAGAGTATTCATCACATTTTGTGTAAAGATAATCGGTTTTGTTTGGTTTCAGGTCTGTCTATGCCTGGTATCCCCAGTGCCCTGGCGTCTCTGGGGGTGGGGCCCACAGGCATGGCAGCTGCAGCCGCAGCCGCCTCTCGCCTTGGCCTCACAGGACTCACGGCCGCTGCTGGACACAACGTCCTGTTGGTCAGCAACCTCAACCCAGAGGTCAGTGCTCTCTCTCAGCTCACTCAGCCCGAGTTAACCAAACACACACACACGTTTCTACACACACTTCTACACACACCTCTGCACACACCTGCATACACCTGAACACCTGCGCGCACCTGAACCTGAACACACATGCAGTAAAGACACACAGGCTTTTTACATGACTGCGCGTCCCTTTTAAGAGGTCCACTGTTTTTAAAGCTGTCTCCATGTGACCATTACATTTTTAATATTGGGGTTTCACGACCTCTTTCTATCGGACCTCTCTGTGTTTGACCAATCCTGCTGTATTTCCAACCTGCCACTTTGCTCACTGTGAATTTTAAGTTTTATTTAAAACACTAACTTCTTTTTTTACAAGAACAACTTACCATTTCATATCTTCATTTTGTCCATTAGTTTGAATCATTCTTATGTTGTTGGAGAGACAATATTACTTTTGTTATTTTTAGCAGTATTTTAGTACTGTGTTTATAATTAAAAGTGTGACATGTGTAAGTAGTCCCACATGGTTTAAGTCAGTGTTTAAGTATTCTTCTTTTGTTATGGATTAAGTTTATTTTAATATGGTAGTTTTGTTTTATTTAGTATGTTAATGTAGAATATCAAAAGCATAGTTTTTAAAAGTATATATTGTCTCTGCCTTTTTCTGTATTTCATTGTTAATCTTTTTCTTCTTTTTTTCTCCTAGTGTTCCCATAGTGACAGTGCATTTTAATTTAGCCAGTTCTACTGTCTGAAGCACTACATTTCTTTGTGTATACTGACCTTGTTTTTACTTCCTTTTTTTCTCTCTCTCTCTCTCTCTCTCTTCTGTCCCTCTCTCCCCCACTCTTTTGTTTTGACCCCCTCCTCCCGACCTTCGCCAACTGACTGCACGCCCCATGACCAATAATTGCCCCGTCTGTCCTGTACCCCGCTTCACCTCCACATCCCCACTTCACCCAACCATCCCCTCACCCCTCTTCCCTCTCCCCCCATCCACTGTCCCAAATCTGGCATCCAAAATTCACTACATCCCAAACAACAAAACCTCCAAACACCGACATTGACACTCATCCGTTCCCCATCACTCTTTCTTTCTCCCCCTTCTCTCTTCTGTCTTCTCTCCATATTTTGCTCGTCCCTCATGCCTCTCCTCCATGGTGGCCTCCCGGTGGACCTGGCTGCCCGTGGCCCGCGGACATACCCCGACTCCACTCTCCTCCACTCCGCTCTTTTCCCCTTGTTCCCCTGTCCCCTTTTTTTGGCCCCGCTGCTCCCCCTGCTGTCTCTAAAGAGCGTTACGCCACACTGCCTCTTTATTCTTTTCGGTACGTTATCATCCTTTCATCTCCTTTTTTTATGACTACTGTTACCCGGCAAGGTGGGCATGTCTTGTCTCATGATGTTTGCTCTTTAACCACTGATGGCTTGTCATCAGGCTCAGGGCTGTGGGGGGGCGGGGGTCTTACTGTTTGGTTTGGGGGTGGTCTGAGCTGTGTTGGTTGATGTGGGTTTGTGGAAGGAAGGAGAGAGGGACACACTCAAAGCTGCTGCATTTCATAGCTAATATCTCTCTATATGAACAAGGAAGTACCGGTAATCCAATAAATGTATACTTATGAATCTTCCAGTAATAATGTTACAAACTAAACGGTACTGGTTTCAGTCCATTTTTTTTTTTTTACATTTTTGTCTCTGATTGTTGTGGTCTGTAATGAACATTAAACATTAAAATGACAATTTACAGCAAAAAACTTTAAATGTAATTTTCTAATTGGTCTGTAATTTAAATTCTTAAGTGTTTCTCAACTGGTTTGACAGCGGGACTCATTTTACTCCTCACTTTGTAATCCACCTTTTACATTTAATATTTTACCTATGTTTTTTTTTTTTTTTTCTTTTTTGGCATGTAGTTTCTTTTCATTTCATGCAGTTATCTTCAAATATTTAAAATCTAAACCAAAAACCACTCCATACAACGTATTTTTTTGTCCAATTTCACGAGTTGAGAATCACTGTTTATAACACAATGAAATGCAGCTGCTTTCCTGTGGACCAGTTTTGACATATCTCAAATATGTCATACGTTTACAGATAAAATGGTCTAATTGTAGGTATGTGCATGTCTAGTTCATTCTTGCATGTCTTTTTAGTTATAAATGTCTTCTCTACTGCTAATCAAAAGGCACTTATTCCATTTATATTATGCACTTTGATTTTTGTCTTCAGATCTTCCTCCCCAAACCACCACACACCACCATCTTTTAATTACCCAGATTAGCCTCAGTAGGTTTAGGTAGCTTTGATTTAGCCAAGTGAAGTAGCTGTTAGATAATCGGTTAGCATTTACGTAGTAGTTTAAAATGTTTTGATTTCACTATTTTGTTGCTGTGTTTGCCTGTGTGTCTGTATGACGCAGCTAGTTGCTATTGTATTGTAACATCTGTGCATTGTTTTTCTAATTCTAGGCGTGTATGGCGATGTGATGAGAGTGAAGATCCTGTTTAATAAAAAGGAGAATGCTCTGGTACAGATGTCTGATGGCACACAGGCTCAGCTAGGTACATATGTTCAAACACCAACCACTCTGTATTTTATCTACCTCTTTCATCTCATTGTCAACATAATGTATTCGTCAGCAGGGGGTATTTTTCTTTGACACTAATTGGCTTTTCTAATATAATTCTGTGCACTTCTCCAGAAATTTACAATGCACAAGGACTCGGTGTCTTGTAAACAACTAGATGCTGTCACGGCCTTGATTGTTCTGTTTTGTAGATAATGTTTAACTAATAACTACATTGGACCTTCAACTCTAATGTTTCTAATTTCATTATACACAAAGTATTCTTAAGCAAGCTCACAGCATACTGTATTTAATCTTTGAATATATTTAGTACTACTACTGTTTTTCTAATTCAAATGTCTATAATGCTTTTTTTTTTGGACACTCAGAGATGCTTTGATTTGGTACATTATTTATTCACTCCACACTTCTAGATCCTACTACTACACTACTGGCAGCATGTTAGGGTAATGAAAAGTCTGTCTAAAGGTCCTCTATCTGGTTTTGAACCTTGAGTGATATGGTTATACATCAACAGCTAATTTTTCAGAGGGACTACTAACTGGTGTAGTCATAGGCATTTGATTCCACATGGTTCTCATTCAGTAACATCTCTGAATGGATAGAACTGTCTTTCGCTCGTAGTTACTTCCTTATAGTTCCCATTCAGCAAAATGCCTTTTAATATCTTTCTCAGCTATTTGATTTGACATTATACTGTATGGTGCTAGAGGTGATTTTCTGATCTAGAAGAAATAAAACTCATACAGGACTTTAAAACTCCTGGTAAAACATCTGAGCAAGAAAAATGGAAACAATCAATGTATCAGTATCTATTAGAGTTTGTTCCATTCTTGCTTGATTCTGACTGAATTGTATTTTCAGCCATGAGCCACTTGAACGGCCAGCGTCTCCACGGGAGGGCGATGCGTGTGACTCTGTCCAAACACACAACAGTGCAGCTGCCCCGAGAGGGACACGAGGACCAGGGCCTCACCAAGGACTTCAGCAACTCCCCACTGCACCGCTTCAAGAAGCCCGGCTCCAAGAACTACTCCAACATCTTCCCCCCATCGGCCACACTCCACCTCTCCAACATCCCGTAGGTTTCAGTTTATTATTCATTTTCCTCACTGTTTTACAAGGCTTATGCAAACTAAATGTTTCCTTTTTTTTTTAGTCCTTCTGTGATGGAAGATGATCTTAAGAGACTGTTTGCAAGTTCAGGAGCTACAGTCAAAGCCTTCAAATTCTTTCAGTAAGTAACATTTCTTTCAGATACACTGAACTGAAAACTTTTGTTGTCCTGAATGTTCTTGTCCTCCTAATATGCTACTTGTTTCTCTTTTCTCTAATGATAGAATGTAATGACATTTACCTGCCGCTAGTCATGTTGTGCTTGAGGTAGTAAAGGCTAATGGTACATTTCAATTACATCTGCAATTTATCATGCGAGTCAGAATTCAATACAGAATGCTGAAGAAATAAAGTTGCCCTGTGTAATTATTTTGGTTGGCAGTCTGCCACCTGCTTGTTTCTATGGATATGGATGTGATATTAAACAGTTCTACTTTAGTTATTCAGTTACTGGTGGTTTTATAGCTCAAAAATACATAAAAACAGAAAACATTCTGACGGTGAGCGGGATTGCCTCCACAGATTTGACTTGTAACTTGTCCTTGTTTGGTCTCATGAAGACAGAAAGGTTTAATACCATACTCTGAAACATGCCAGACAAAGCAATAGCATCTCCATGGAAAACAGCATTTGACAGGCCCTGCATCAGAAAAGTTACACAATGCACCTTTTTAAAATATGAACAAAGAATACTAATGTTCAGAAAATAGGCTTATATGTTGTATGTATGATTTTTAATTAAATGAAGCAGCCCTAAACTATGTATGTCTGTTGTGAAGCACATTGTAATGACTTGTAATGCTTTGTGTCTCCAGGAAGGACCGTAAAATGGCTCTGATCCAGATGGGCTCGGTGGAGGAGGCCATCGAGTGTCTGATCGAGTTCCACAACCACGACCTGGGCGAGAACCACCACCTGCGCGTGTCTTTTTCCAAGTCCACCATCTGAGTGCCTCCACAGACCACCACACTGCCGCTGTACAGGCATTTGTGCACGATGTTGCTCACTTCAGCTCATTCCAGTTCATTTAGGTTTGGGTAGAAATCATCGGACCTACACTGTATAATTCAAAGTAGCCCATAAGACCAAAGTATAGATACAACTTTTTATGTGCTGGCGTCTTTGAATGTCTTTTTAATACAAGTGCATAGTGGTATACTAGTACATGTTGTCTCATAGGCCTGTCACAATAATTACTATATCTACTTATATTGTTCAATATATGAGAGCTGGAACATCGACATGGGTTTTCTTGGCATTACTGGAAAATTTTGGGTTATTTTTTGGCTATATGATAAGATTTGAATTGTAAAAGATTGAAATAAATACCTTCTATGATCAGTTACAGATGCAAACTAAGTACTAAGGTGTTTGATTCTGCTAATACAGTTTTTTTTTAAATATTGTAGATTTAGAATAGTATTGTGGTTTAAATCTGCTCTTGGGTTTTTGTATCAGTGGCATAAATTAGTTTCAATTATCGTTTATAGTGAATATTTACTTAAGCAATGTAATGCAGTTCAAAACTCGTTATTGTGACAGGCCTATTGTCTATAATGCAAAGCATCTAGCCAACATGGTAGCATTCAAGTAATCCTTGTTTTCCTTGCTGGAAGTTTACGTAAATATATATATACATATATAATGACTTCTTTAAGAGGTCATCTGATTTCCATATTTTTTTGTACCCAAACCTAATGAATACATTTGCCAGATGTGAGCTACATTCTGCAGTGAAACCTGTACATGTGGAGGCACAGTTGAGGCTGAACTGTCACTTTAGACCAAATCTGCAGGAGAAATCCATGTCCGTGCTTATGTGGATCTGAGCGTCCACCACACACTCGAGCATTCCTTAGTTTTCATGATCTCTGTGCCTTCTTGAGACGCCACTGTCAGTCATCTTGGCCAGTCACAAATAGTCACGATATAAGTTTTGTCTTTTGACACCAATCACCACCTAAGGATCTTATTTTATTTACCTTATTGTTTGGAGGAGTCAGTTATAATTTAGTAATGACCCTCTGTCCATTTCTGTGCCTTACTTTGCTCTGAGCAGACAGCCTTAAGCTCTGGCTCTGTTTAAGATATTTCAGTATCTTCTCTCGCCTTTGGTTTACACCAGCATTTTAACAATGGGCAAAGTGGCTTACGGACTTTTTTTTCCTTTAATCATAAACTGTTATGTTGTTCTTAAGCATGTAGTTCTTTATGTGTATGTAGAACTGAATGTAAGCCAGTTAGTTGCCTAATATCCCTGTTAGTTGATGTAGCGCTGTTAGTTTTGACAAAGGTGAAGTTGGAGCCAGCTCACCTGTCTCATCCTCATCACTGCTTTAACCCTTCAGAGTGGTGATGTGGACTTTATTTAATCATTATATGTTCATCTATAATTTCACACCTATATATCCATGTATTCTTTTTAATAGCATATACATGTTTATCATAATTGAGCTGAAAAGGCTGGTGACTAAGTTTAGATTCTCATTACAGTGCCTTGTACTGAGCTGTAATCGGAGACTTGGCCTTGTGGGTGACTTGCCTGTGGAGCAGGTTGTACCTCGCCTTAAGCCCCGTTCATTCAGGTCTTACCACAAGAGCAGCTCAGAGCCTGCATTATCTCCACAGTAAAGGCTGTCCTGGGCTTTTCCTTAAATTCAGGAAGAATGGGCCTCATTCCCTGGCCAGTCTGACACAGTTGGATCCTTAGTGCACTTTTACATGGACTGGTCCATCACTCAAGTCTTAACATTGTCCTATTACACTGCATTGGCCACTGTAAACATTGGAGCAGACGCAGAGGTGCTGTCTATTTGAAAAGGTGGTTTTATATAGTACAGAGCCACATGTAGCACACGGTTATTGCTGTCAGGACCAAAGTACAGTATCCTCTGCCCTTTTGTGCTGTAAGAATCACATTCCCCATGTGTAACTAAGCGCCCACAGCTCTGACCTCTGGGTCACATGTCCTGTTAATCATCAGATACTGTATATTATCGTAGCCCTTGTTTGATTCCTTTACACAGAGCCTACTTTTGTAGAATGATCCTTACTGAACGGCAGTCTGACCTGTGATGTCGACCTGTAGATTTATGCCTTTGTTGTTCAAAGCTTTTATTTTGCTCTCTTTTTATATGGGGGCGGGGTGGGGGTATTGTATGAAGCGGGGTTGATGGTTGTAAATATTCATGTTTTTGTACCACAGAATCATTTGATTATATCACTTTACGTTCAGAACAGAACATGTATATTTTGATACGACATGACAGACATATAAAGCTCGTATGAGCTACAAAACCAACTTTTGTAACACAAAGTTATTAAAGTATCTGAACACAGTGGTGTGTGTGTATGTGGCCCGCTCCCCACTCAGCCGGTCTGTTCTGCTTCTTCTGCCTTCAATAAATCTTCAGTTTTTCCTCTTTCATCTGCCTGGTCGGTTCCTCTCTGTCTCTCTGGTGTTCTGCTGCTTAATTCAGTTAACGTCTTGTAACATTTCCACATTTCCTGTGCTGTTTATCATTGGTGGATTTTTACCAGCTCTCTCTCCTCTGAGCTCATTCATTATAAACTCCACTTCTTAGTGACTTGGTTCGTTTCCTCAACATCTGTATGTCAGACCCGTGCAGTTTATTTCTTATGCACAGACCAACACCTGCTCCTCTTCATCATTGTGAGTAATCCTGTTCTCTGCTCAGACCTTTCTGTGATTGACAGCTGCCTCTGCCCGCTGAGCCACGGCATTTCCACCAGATTACTGGGATAAAACACAAGCGGTGTCCTGGGCATTTCAGTGGTTCTCACAAAGTTGCTTGGGGACATAGCGGTTGGACATTGTTAGTTCCCTTTAAAGCCACTAGGGGGAGGTGTTGCACTTTATTTCACTTGTATCCCCTCATCAGAGGTGCCCTTACCTGCCACTCATGCGCCGTCAATACTCGCTTCATTTTGAGTGCCTCTCTGGGTTTTCTGGCTTTATAGCTGTCTTTTCTCACGGATTTACTCAGTGCTCAGGGGGAGATTAACCTGTCTTTTTGAGAAGGGGACAAAACTATCGCATCCAATGGTTTTTGTAGCACCAACAGACAGTTTTTAGGGAGGGGAGGTGGGGGGGATAATCCTTGCACCCTGAGTAAGGATAATAAATATAGCCTATAATGTACTTCTAAGCTACAGTTCCTAGATGTGGGCTGTTATCCAAAATGCTAAACTTAAAAGTATTGCAGTTTCATTGCGCTGAGTACATGGATACCTTTTCCTTGCAGGCATATTTTTCAATTTTCTAACATTTGGTGTATCTTGGCCAATCAGGATCCAGTGCTGGGAAGTCTTTGAAGCTGCCTTGCAAAACCACTGCCTTGTTTACTTGCACATCTCTACTGCACCAAGAGAAATTTAGAACGCTCCCAGAATCCTCCTTGGAACACATTCAAATGCAAAGAGAGATTGCATAATTGGGTGCAGGGATAACTCAAAGAAAGATGAGCTTAACAGATTTAAGAGGGTTTTGGGGGGTATCAAGTTCAGAGATATTGGCTCCTTAAATAGTATTTCATAGTTTGGATTTGTAAGACATATTGTTAGTGTCAGCTTTAGGTATATTTCTCTATAGGCTATAAACTAAATGGTAGCTTTGTAATTGTTCATTTAGACTTCTTGGCTTGGATAAATGTACTTCTAAGAGTACTTTAAGGGTGCACTAAATGTAACTTTTCTGGTTGGGGGCTCATCACCTGCTTGTCTCCACGGAGAGGTTATTGCATTGCCCTGAATATTCCACCATTTTGCATTTAACTTCTCTAATAACAGGTGTTTTATTGCTACAAAACATGCATTCTTACTGTCAGTGGACTTGCTTCTCCAAGCACCTGCTTGTCTCTATGGAAATAGGTAACTTTAAGGTCAAATGGTGCAGCATTTACCTTTTTTTTTAAAAATGGCTTTGGAGCTTTGGTCAGTGTGTTTACCACAAACTCAGTGGTAGATTGATCCCAGCTCTGACCAGGGATTACTATTGTTGTGCCCTTGGGCAATATGGAGTATGTCTATGTGACTGTGTGATTTCTGGTGGTCAGTGGAAAGCAGTTTATAGGAACAGCCACACATGTTTAATTCTGTCCCAGGGCAACTGTGGCTGCAGAAGTTGCATAGCACCACCTGAATATGACTGAAGTACATTTTATTGCATCGTCTACTCACATGTGCAATATTTTCTATTGTGTTCTAGCCTACATCAGATAACTACTTTTACCTTTTACTTCAATACTTCTGAAGCAATAGTACTAGAGTACACGGTCTCTCCTGTTCAGAAGTGAGTTTACTGATTGAATTGTGACCCCAGGACATCTCTGTCTTTCTTCAGAGCAGATTATAAGTGAAAACATGTGCACAGAGGTTTTTTAACACATCTGGCAACACTTATTTACATGAGCGCACTCTCTCTAATCATGCAGATACTGAGTCTGGGGCCACACAGCATTAGCCAGGAGCGACTGTGGTGACTGAGGAGGCTGACTCCTGATGTTCTGAAACCACAAACTCTGTGTCATCTGTGACATGTTTAATACTGAAAACGGGCACTCAAATGTGAAACTCTATCCATGTGGGACTGTGAGACAAAAGGCTTCTCTGTGTCTCAAATAGTCCACTTTGCAAAGTAATGATACAACCAAATCTGAAATAAACACGGGTCAGTGCATGAGTTCGGTTACTTGAAAATGTTTCTGAAATGGGAAACTGCAAACATTTAAAGTCCAAATCAACTGAACGTGAACTCTTTTTAGGCAACAGTGGCTCAGGTGGTTCTGGGAGTTTGCACATCAGTTCACAAGTTGAAGCGCACACTATTTTTGTGTCCTTAGGCAAGAGACTTTCTCCACCTATACTACACTTCCCCACTTGTTTATGCAAGAAAGTGGTGTATGGTAAGTATTGGTAGAATTACTGACTGAATGACCAACAACATACACTAGTACATTCATAAAAAAACAGAGGACTCAAACTAAAATGTACTATTACTTCAAAATAATGAGACAAGTAGCCTATATATGTGAGAATCTGAAGTGTAAAAGTAAACCAACCAGGCTTTTAGAAACACATATTGTACATTTTGTAATTTATTCAGATTGAATTTGATATAAATATTTGACTTAAGGTTATCCCAAAGACAAACCCAAGACTATGAGAACATTAGGGGCACTCATGCCTCTGGGCATGACACCAGCATAACTAACTACAAATAGAAAGTTAAAACCTTACTTAACATTCTCCATGAACAAGTATAATACCATACTGTGGAACATTCCAGACAAAGCAATAATATTTCGATGGAGACGAGCAGGTGGCGTGCCCTTCACCAGGTCAAGTTAAAGTCAGATCTGCGGAGATGCATGCACAGTAAAGATGCATGTTTTTTGTCTGTAATAACATATCTTATCAAATAAAGAATTTTATTGAAGTATATTTTTGTCTGAAATGTTACAGGAGGTGGCTGTATTTTCAATGTGCTGAAGTAAATACACGTCTTGAAAGGGTCCATATTACACTATACTCCAAAACACACCTGGAGTTGTGTTTTGTTTTATTCACACATGTTTAACATGTTAAACCCTGCATATTTAGGCTGAGTTCTTATATCAAAATGAAAACACTCTGTTTTAACTTGTGATGTCATGTGGTAATACAGGAAGTGCTCCACTGTGTTTTTAAACTTGTATCATTTCAGCCCTAGAGTTGCCAAACTCCACCAAACAAAGGGTCAAATGTAGCTGTTGAAAAGTACAGCTTCATGACATTCAAGGTGGAACAGAGTATTTTGAGCTCTGGAGATGTAGAGAGACTAATAATGCAGGACTGCTCAAACGTGTGAATCGAACAAAACACAACTCCAGGTATGTTTTCAATGAGATGGCATGGCTTAAAGCTCACATGAGTCAATTATGCGTAATATGGGGCCTTTAATAAGATATCTTTTCAGGCAACAGTACCAGCTTTACCCAGTTTTGTACAGTTTTACATTTCCTTGTAGCTCGCAGTGGGTTCAGCCTGCTCTGTCCCGCTGTACACTGCATTAGAGGTTTTATGGAGTCAGTATCAGAGCGACAGCAGAGGAGAGGGACGAGGTGAAGGATGTCTCTGGCAAATTTAGTGTCTCCATTTACAGCACCATCCCAAAGCCTCCCGCGAGCATCCGGGCAGGACATGTGCACGCCTCAGACACTTCCTGAATTATTCATTTTAGGAGGCGGACAACACGCAGCTGTATTTGGGTTATAGGGGTGCTCTCCTCTCCCTCTCTCATCCAAAATTACAGGCATTACTTTGCAGGCAGAGGGGGGCCGTGGAAAACTGGGACACTTTGCATAGATGATCTAAACAGAGTGATGGAGCAGCAGAAAGGTGCTGTTTAAAACGATGAAGGAGATCTCTCGGAGGCTGGGAACAAGGTGAATTGTGGGAAATCTGCACAATGTTTGTAACTCCAGAAATTCATCACTTTAGACTTTAGGGGAAATTGTGTAGTCACTAAAATCCTGCGTCATTTGTTAAGGCTGTACTCCCTGTTTGGATTAAACAAATGAATGTTTTACAAATAATTCAGAGGTCGATAGTTTTAAACGTGATGGATTTTGTGCCTAAAGCTCATTCAGCCTCACAGACTGCAGTCTCTCCCATCACTGCAGACCAAACACAAACAAGGCAAGTTCATAAACACAAATGGGGCAATGAACAAATGGCTCTTGTCAACTTTGAATAACACGAGTGTTTCTTTATCATTCAACAATGAAAGCTCATTAAACAGCGGTGATTAAAAACAATAAAACTCTAAATAGACCTATTGATCTGCCAAAAAAATGCCAAAAACACGTACAGTGCAGTGGTATCTGTTCAGTTTGAGCCCAGCACTTAAAACGGCTGATAATGTATCCAACGCGCACATCAAAATATAAATGTGATCTACAAATGTAAGTTTGAGGTTACTTTATGTAGTCCGCAAACTGAAGGCTATAGGCCTATGTAAAACTAACCCTGGCCCTGACCGCCCCCAGGACAGATTTGGACTCAGATGTACAGTTTCTGTGGCGCGTGGGCCGGAGGTGAGCACAGTCAGGGACAGAGGTGTCTGCTCTGGCATCTTTATGGCGCAGGTTTTTCTCTCTGCGCAGCCTTCTGCTGCGCCCTTTGGGCTAATGGACACTGATGGAAAATGACTCCAGTGTTCCAGCGATCCATCACGCACGCTCCTTTTGCTGTACGTATGTGCGCGAGCTCATCCATCAGCCAGCAGCTTTCAAACAAAACTTTATGGGCGCTTCACACAACCAGCTGCTTGGCACTTAAAGCCCATACAGTCTCACAGATGGCTGCGATTTATAAAAAGTCACATAAATAAAGTTAACGCTAATCTTCTTCGTTTTATCTTTGAACTCTGATTCGTTTCCATATGAAAGAGTGACTCGAGGCTTCTCATACATAAAGCCGCGCATAGAGCCGGGGCGCAGTGAGTCAGCCAAGCCAAGAGTCCCCCGAGGCAGCGCGGCACCGCACGGCACAGCACCGCTATATCACCCCACCCGCGCGGAAACGAAGAAAGAGCAAGCGAGAAAGAGGAGAAGAGAAAGAAGGAGACGGGGGGAGGGGGTTAGATCCACTGTGCGACTGAGCGAGGACTCCGCTGAGCGCTGTTGTGGCCGCCATAGGTGCAGAGTGCGCGCTCGGGGCATGTGCGGATTAAGCTGAGATCAGTTAACGAGCGGCGTGACGCGGAAGGGGAGTCCGCGCTGGAGTCGATGCTGAGGCAGCGGAGGAAGTTGCGAGAGGAGGCAGAGTGAAGAGGATGCTCCAGTGTTTTGTTCCTTAAGTTTGGACTGAGAACAGCGCTGAGGAACGTTGTGTTTTTGTGGAATGTCTCGCGATAAAAAAAGAAGGTCAAGTGGAAGATTTGATGTGATAGCAGCACAGATGTAAATATGACGGAGCATTCTGATGTTGTCTCGCGCCTGCTTGTGATCAAACAAACCTATAACAGAGTTACGCACGTCAGATGAATATTGGATCATCGTTTATTTCTGTGGATCTAATCCACGCGCGCATGTCTGCGTGCGCGTAATGGGACAAAACTTTCGGAGATCACAGCATTTTGTCAATAACATGTGAGTTCTTTTATTTGTCTGCAACGGCTTACTTTTAAAGTGTGTTTTGCACCACTATGACTTGAAATACTTGCATGTTTTTGCAACTCAGTCCAGTTATTGATTCATGCGCACGTTGGTCCTTAAAGCTAAAGATCTAACGAGGGTTTGTGCAGCAGCAGCAACGCAGTGAAAGTGAGAGCCTCCACGTGAGCGACAGAAGCGAGTCCCGGCTGGATGCGCGTGATGCTGTGGCCGCTCGGACCGCGCTGTGGGATGGAGCTCGTGCTTCTGGCCGTCCTGTCCTGGGCGTCCGCGTGGGCAGAGGAGAAGATCATCTTTGACAGACACGCCGTCTACTGGAACAGCTCCAACCCCAAGTGAGTCCACTCTCTGTCTCCAAAACTGCCTCTCCATCTCTATCGCGTCTGTAAAGAAACATGTACGCATTTCTCCTGACGCATCGCTCTGACTGCTCTTTTATGTGTTGAGTCACTGTTGCAACATTCAGCTCTGAATAATGTGCAGCTCCGCGCGCTCAGGTGGAGGTTTGCGCTCAGTGCCGTGTTTTGTGGCGGAGGGACTCCTTTTGTCTCAGACAATGAGGGCATCCTTCCTCCGCCGCTGCGCTCCTCATCCAGAGACGCTTTTTGTTCTTTATCACAAACACGTTCTGACGCTGTCGCTCTCAAACATGACACTTTTTCTTACAACAGCTCACAAACCTGCAGTACACACTACACATTTTATTCTGCTGAATTTCAAGAAGCACTAATGAAAATAGATTTTCTCTTAGGTCATATAACTTATTCATTGTTGGCAGCAATTTGTGGATTATCTCTGATTATTGCCTCCCCTTCTTTTGCCAATTCAAAAAACAAGATGCATAGATGGTTGCATTACTTGTACCATATGTTTATGTTATTGTGTATGGTTTTGTAGCCTGTTCTGGCTAGAATGCATTTTTACAAATAGGTTAACTCTAAAATATCTTATAGTTTACTTCCAAAAACACAGCTCAAGAAAATTCATGATAAAATTATACGTAAGTTTGTCAATTATTAACGATTTATTTACAGTAATATTTTATGATAACATATTTAAAAACATTGCACATTTTGTACTTTTTCGTCTGCACTTTTGTCGCATGATATAGAGTCCTTCCTTTTCTGAGCGAGGCTTTTACTTTGAAATTTCACGTTACATAAAAGTCCCTGTGATGAGACCTAGTTCTGTCTGTGCATATCCTAATACCTAAAATCTTAAACAACTCCTCTCTCCAAAAAACGAACCCAAAACGCACTACAATTTGCACTTAAGTCTTCAATCGCTTACTACTTTCCTACCACTATAGCACCAAGTACATTTTAAAGTATTTTGGGCACACCGAACACAACGGGCTCCTCTCATTGGCATGGGACAGGGCACGCCGCGTCCATCACTCTAATCGTTTGTGACAAGTGGGCCAGTCTTTCTCTCACTCTTCCTCTCTCCTAGCTCTTTCGCTTCCTTCCTTCCTTCCGTCCTCCCTTGCTTCCTCGTCCGACTCTTTCCCTCCCAGGTAGATAAATAAACATTGAAAGTGCTCCGTCTTGCTCGCTCACGGCTCAGTTAGTTCGCATACGGGCCAGGGCTATGACTGCATCACTTTTCGACAGAAGACTTCTCAAATATTAAAGAGGCAAGGGGGAACATTTTCTCCTTTTCTTTTGCTCGCCGCGCACACACTCACACGTTCAAACAGCCAACGTCACCGGTTAAATTTAAGTTATATGGACACTAGCTTTTGGGTGCAAGGAAAAAAAGAAGGCCACATCAAAAATGCATTGGGACGAAAGCTATGAAGGTGAGGGTGATTTGCCCATGCGCGGACTTCTAGCACAAAATTTGGGATTGCTGTAATCTGGCGGAGAGGCCCGCCGACAAAGTCCATTCGTCAGCGACAATTTGAAGCCAATTCCGAATCTAAATGTCTGAAATAAACGCAGATTTCGAAAACAGATTAAAGTGGGAAAAGATGGGGAAGGCGCACGGCGAAAATGTCCAGACGCGTTTTGCAGATTTGATGAAAGAAAGAAATCAGAAACGGTGCAAGGTGACGACGGTACAGATTACGACCGCAAGATAAATCGTAATCAAATCGAAATTACAATTTGAGCGAGCGCAATTATTAAATCGGAAAGGCTGCAGCTTTTAACGTGCCGTAATTTCTTCCACAAACAACAAAATATTCTGGCTCATTCTGCGTTAAAACAGCGAATACCTCATTTTAATTTTGACCTAATTCCTAATTTTTCAGTCTTTTCTCTATTCTCCGGGACGTCTTAAAAAGTGAAGTTTGAACAGAATCCTATTATTAAAACATAAATTGTAAATGTAATCACAATTTCAACGCTTGTAAAAATAAAATGCAATTACGTATTCTTCCCAAATTGTGTAGCCGTAGTTCAGATTTATTCAAGTTAATACGTGTGCAGTTATCAGAGCACATTGGACTTTGTTGCCCCGTAGCAGTTAATTTTCAAATTTTTGAGACATTTCCGTTTCTATTAGTTGTGATTGGCAGCGCATAGAAGTTTAATTTCCAGGCTTGAGTGGTTTTAATTATTTTATTAAAGGCTGGTCCACTACATTGATCATAGTTAGAGGCAGTGTTGGCAGTGGCACCGCAGCTTTTTGCTCCTCGAATTGACTTGGTATTTCGAATTTATTGAAGTCAGATTTTTACCACAACACATCATTTTGACTGACAATCCCTTTTATATTATTCAAGGTTTTAACTTAGAGTAATTTTGTTGGTTCTCTGTATTGTGAGAATGTTGTATATTGTATTTATGCCAATAAATATTCACTGTTTAGCAAAACCTGTGCATCATAATTAAGACGCGCACCTCAGTTTGAGAAACACACATATTGACAGTTTTCTCAGTTCATATATATTGTAAGTTACCGCAGTAATTCTGGTTCATCATTTGGCCTGACAGAACAGCAATTTTAATTTAATGTTACATCATTTTTTTTGCAGATAAGTATTCGATCTGTGTGTCCTGATTAAGACGCGCACCACATTTTGAGAAACACACACAATATGACAATTTTATCAATTCAGCTTCATGTTAAAGGAGTCATTTTTGGGGCTTTTTACCTTTTCAAATATAGAATGATTCGTGTTGAATTGTATATCACTATGGCAACGGTCCCAAGTTTTCATTACTCTAAAAATAATGGATAGCGATCTTACTTCATCAGCATTTTCGCAAATACTTACATCCGCTAATTACAATTTTCTCAGTTTCAGATTCTTGTTATTGGAGCCATTTTGAGGAGTTTTAACCTTTAAAAAGATAATATAATTAGTTTTGAAGTGTATGTCACTATGGCAACGGTCCTAATTTTTTATATTACACCTTACAATATTTAAAGAAATGGTTACAAAGTACAGTTACACGTACTAACCTTGTAGATTTTTGCCCATGTTTATCAAATTATTTCAATTAAATTTTTTACCACAAATTTTTATAAAATATTCCGCAATGCTATCTTCCTAAACGTTTAAACATTTTTATTAGTCTAGAAACATGGATAGAGATAAATCTGTATTTGTATCTTACTTCATTTCGCATATTCGCTAATATTTACGCGCACCACAGTTTGAAAAACATAGGACTTTTTACCTTTAAAAAGATCATTTTGAAGTTTTTAAGTGTATGTCACTATGGCAACGGTCCTAATTTTTTTATGTTACGCCTTACAATGTTTAAAGAAACGGTTACAAAGTACAGTTACACTTACTACCTTGAAGATGTTTGCCGATGTTTGATCAAATTATTTCAATTTAATTTTTTTACCACAAATTTTTATAAAATGTTCCGCATTGCTGTCTTCCTAAAAGTTCAAAAATCTTAATTTATCTAAAAACAGATAAATCCTTATTTGTATCTTACTTCATTCGCATATCCGCTGATATTTACGCGCACCACAGTTTGAGAAACACATTTATTCGCAATTTTCTCAACTTCAGATTCTTGTCATAGGAGCCATTTTGAGGATTTTTTACCTTTAAAAATATAATTTTGAAATTTTTAAGTGTATGTCACTATGGCAACCGTCCTAATTTTTTATGTTACGCCTTACAATGTTTAAAGAAATGGTTACAAAGTACAGTTACACTTACAAACCTTGAAGATGTTTGCCGATGTTTATCAAATTATTTCAATAAAAATTTTTTGCCGCAAATTTCTATACAATGTTCTGCAATGCTGTCTTCCTAAACATGGATAGAGATAAATCTGAATTTGTATCTTACTTCATCCACATATCCGCTAACATTTACGCGCACCACAGTTTGAGAAACATGTTCATTTGCAATTTTCACTACTTCAGATTCTTGTCATCAGAGTCATTTTTTAAATTGAATGATTTACAGCAAATCTTTATTATGAAATGTTCCGCAACGCTGTCTTCCTAAAAACATGGATAGAGATAAATCATTATTTGTATCTTACTTCATTTGCATATTCGCTCATATTTACGCGCACCACAGTTTGAGAAACACATTCATTCGTAATTTTCTCAACTTCAGATTCTTATCATAGGAGCCATTTTGAGGACTTTTTACCATTAAAATATAGAATAATTATAGAATATAGAATTGTATATTACTATGGCAACGGCACCAATTTTTCATTACTCGAAAAACCAAGGATATATTTTTACTTCGTTTTAAGATTAATTAAGATGCACACCACAGTTTGAGAAACACATGCATTGACAATATTTTTTATTTCAGGTACTTGTTACAGGAGACATTTTGAGGACCTTCTACCATTAATAATATTGAATAAATGGTTTTGAATCGTATATTACCATGGCAACGGTTCCAGTTTTTCATGTTACACATTTACTTCATCAGCGTATTCGTTAATGTTACGCCCGCTAATTTTTCTACACAAACATTTTTACCGTCTTAGCTTTTAACTTATCGGTTTACAAACTTTCTATTTCGCACGCATCTCTGGTTTTTAAGGTGGACAAAATCGGATATATGTTCAAACTCAAATGAAGCCAGCATGATAAATTACGCCCCTAACCTCGCCATTACGGGGTGCAGTCTAGTGGAGCGCCATCACTCAGATATAAGTACATAGCTACTATTAAAGCAACTTGTACACTTTAAAATGAATCGCGTAATGAATTTGGCTGGAATACCGGGGCCCATACATCATCCCAGAACAGCAGCTATTGTTTCCGCGGCGACACAAACAAACGCCAAACGCACAGATGTGTCTTAATTGATCACATTATACTAACCGAGCTCATCGGATTGTATTGAGCCATCAGGATGCGTGGTCGTCCAAAAGTTTGACCTACAAAAAAGTAC